CCGCCCCGCCCCGGATACCGGCCGCCGGAGCCCGGCGTTGCGGGCTGGACGAGGGCACCGAGGTGAGTGGGCACCGCCGGGGCTGCGGAGTGCGGGGGGCGGGGGGGGAGCTGGGGGCGTGCAGCTGTGTTCCACGTTTTGAGGCGTTTCTCCCCTTAATTACAGGCAAATGTGCAATACCAAGATGTCCTCCCTTACGGATGGCTCCTCTGTCACCGCGTCGGAGCAAGAGGCGCTGGTCAGTAGCTCCGTTGGACGCGCGACTTTTTCGTGCCTTTTGCAGAGCTGTTACCTGCGCATTCGGAAGGGCCCCTTTGCTCAGCGGGCGGCCGTTAGAGAAAAGCCAGGAAATCCGGTGAAGACGGGCTCATGTGCAATACCAAGATGTCCTCCCTTACGGATGGCTCCTCTGTCACCGCGTCGGAGCAAGAGGCGCTGGTCAGTAGCTCCGTTGGACGCGCGACTTTTTCGTGCCTTTTGCAGAGCTGTTACCTGCGCATTCGGAAGGGCCCCTTTGCTCAGCGGGCGGCCGTTAGAGAAAAGCCAGGAAATCCGGTGAAGACGGGCTCTCTGTGATCCTGTGCTGGTGAAGCAAGTCTTTCTCATTCGTGGTTGAGAGTGGAGGGCGATGGTTTAGGTCTAGACTCTTGTTTCTTGGAGACCTTTGGTGGTGAGGTTGCTTTCTTTTAATGAGAAGGATCTTATGGTCCGATTCGATCACGGCAGGTTTTCCGTGGTGGAAATTTCGTTAACAGTTCGTAACTGAAGAGTAGTAGAAGATCTCCGTTGTGCAAAACGTACGCTGTGTGTGGAAGTGGCTTGTGACAACGCAAGGCTTTTGAATTTGGCATTTTCACTTTCTCTTCTATGGGAATTCATAAGCAAGTTTTGTAATAAGAGTCATCGTTTGTGTTTATGGCTTTGCATATCCAGCCTTTTCTTGATACAGTGACAGTTACGTTGTCCTGGCTTTTTATGTGAATCTTCCTGAGGATGGAAGCCTATACCTGAGATGCAAGCTAAAAACGGGGTGTGTACAATGACAGTTTAACTGGATTACTTTTTGTAGAAGGCTAAAGCTTATAGCTGATAGCAGAACTTTAGAAAAGTGAAGTAACAGAACAGCCAACTGTTCAAAGTTGCTTTTTTTTTTGTTTTCATTTGTTCTTTTTTTTTAAATCATAATGTGTTGCTACCGTTTGCAGTCAGATCTGCATGGCAGAAGAACTTCATGCTTAGAGGAGTCAAGGAGAGAGCACTGGGGAGTAAAAGGATCTGAACCCGTGGGTCTAGCTGCGGATTCAGAGATCTGAAACTGCTTTGCCTTCCTATGCTCAGCTGTCATTAATAGTTTAATAAGTTACTCTTTGCTTCCTTTATGAAACTGCAATATGTGTTGCATGCTGTAAAAAAAATTCAGCACTTAGGAAGGGGTAAATAGACATCTAACATTGTCCACAACCTTGTTTATTGTTTTCATTATGTCTGATTCTTGCAACTAATCTCTTGTCAGTGCATTAAAACTTAACATTGGTTTTAGCAGATATTTGAAATGGAATGGAGGGAAGTTCTCACACCTTGCCTTAAGTATTTATTCCTTGTCTCGTGATATTTTATTCATGCTTTTCTGTAAAATGTTTCTTTTCTATAATACTTCTTTCTTCTTGTAGGGACTATATTAGGATAGCTAAATGTTAGCCTGTTCTTGGAATGGTTATGCTATTGTTAAAGTGGCAATACTAGAACATACTGCACTGGGAACCGCCAGTGGCTCCACAGGCATTTTCTTTGTAGTTGTGGCAGCCTCTGCAGCTTGTTCTCATCTACTGCAGTGGTACTGGCACAGCTGTTTGTGCAACAGTGTGGTGAATGGGATCAGGGCACTGCTCTAGCCAGAAGGAGAGAAGAAAAAAAAAAAAAAAAAAAAAAAAAAAAAAGGGGGGGGAAAAAAATTTTTAAAAAAAAAAAAAAACTTTCTACCTCATAAATTGTTATAAACTGGCTGCAGATATCACTCTGCTGGCACAGTGGGTGAGTGGGAGGCCGTTGCGGAGGTTGGAGCGATTGAAGTATGATGGAAAGGACAGGGTGTGCTTATCCCAGCTAAGAAAAGTCTTCAAGGGTAAGGCAGCCCAGCTGGCAAATGCAAAACCGCAGCCCCAGAAAGTGTCACAGGAAGAGACTAGGAAAGAGGTGGATGAGTGGTTTGCTTTGTGACTTGCTCTCTGGACCTGGCAGTCTCAGAGGTCCATTTGCCTTCCTCCCTCCCTCCCTCCCCTTTGGGAGTCACTGTAAGGACGAAAGGAGTGAAGCTGAATTCCCCAGCGCCCAGCCCTGTACTTGGAACCACCAAATGAATCCTGTAGCTCAAACTGAGGAATCTGTATGTACTGATGAAAGATTGGGATTTGAGCTAAGAGGTGCTGTGTATGAGAAGTTCGGTATGATTGGGTTCGTGTTATTTTAAGTTTAACTTTGCAAGGTAAAAAACTTGGATGTGGATAGATTTTAATATAGTTGTGTGTTTGTGTATCAGATTAATACAGAAGGAGGAAGCTAACCTGTATAAATAGTTTTGTTTGGTGAATAATTGGTGCATACTGTTTTTCTTCCCCACACAGGTTAAACCAAAGCCACTGTTGTTGAAGTTGTTAAAGTTAGCTGGTGCAGAAAAGGACACTTTTACTATGAAGGAGGTGAGAACTTTTAATCACTAACGGTAGGTTACGGTGAATACAGATAGATTGTTCTTTTGTTTTGGGTGAATGGGGGGCAGTGTAGTTCACAGCTTATCTAGAAGATACTGAGACAAGGTATTGTTTTCATTCTCCTGCTGACTTGTTAGGTGGTGTTTAGCAAGTTCACAAAATCTGAACAGAAGTACCTGGTGGTCAGTAGAACAGTACTTGAGGAATGATAGTTGAAAATCACAGCTCAAAGGGAGTTTTAGGCAAAGTCAGAAGAGCAAATCTCAAGGAATTTAATGTGTTTTCTCTTGCACTTAAACTTAACAACAGAACCTGGGTATTTAATGTCTGTGTATGTCCTTTATCTTACAGGTAATATTCTATCTTGGACAATATATTATGTCTAAACAATTATATGATGAAAAACAGCAACATATTGTACACTGTGCAAATGATCTCCTGGGGGATTTATTTGGAGTAACAAGCTTTTCAGTTAAAGAACACAGGTAAAATCGGATTCTTTTCTGAGAGTCTGGGTGTGAAATAACGGAGAACGTAACGCGTATGGCCTTTTTTTTTTTTTAACTCTTTGCATCTTCAGAGATGGTAAGGTCTCTTTTATAATTACATGTAGCTAACTTGCAACATCTCTTTCTTTATCCCCATCTAAGGAGACTATATTCAATGATTTCCAGAAATCTGATAGCAATCAATCAACAAGGTAAGCTAGTTTGGGAGGACTTTTTGTTTTGGGAAATAGTAGTGAAGAAAATATAACTTACATTAATGCATTGTGCATGTAGTGATCAGCTAACATTGATCTCTCCATAATTAGCTATTTGGCTTTACACACTGCTGTCCAGAGAGATCACAAATAGTGAATCGGAGCAAACACTGTTTCTTGTGTGGGAGGAAAAAAAGAAAAACTGAACAGCATTTGTGTAATTTTGTCAGACTAGGACCAGAACAAGCACAGTCAGAGCTGAACACAGAGGACTAAGCTGAAAAATTAGTCGTTTGCTTGCATATCTTGCAGACAAAGCCCTCAACAATATAAAAAGTTTTAATACCAAAAATTAGCTTCTTGAACTTGTGCCAGCAGTGACATCAGGGCAAATGCTTTTTATTCTTTCTGTTCATGTTCTGTTCTAATTTTCAAAACTGAATGTGGGGTACGTTTAGAACTGGTCACCCTCAGTTATACACTGAGTCCTCCTTTAAAAGTATGTATACTTAAACAAGTAGCTTTGTGGTAACTTTGCGGATAGCCGCTCCATAAATGGGGAATACCTACAGTTGTTACATACAGTCATCTTTCCTGAAGTATAAAAATGTTCAATATAGCTTTAACTTTTGGCTAATATGAGGAGTGAACCAGAAGTTAAACAATGGAAGCCATTTTGTAAATTGGCTTCTAAATCCCTATTAAGACGCTCTTTGTTTCTGATTCTTCCTAAAGGCAAGTGTTCAGCTGCTGAAGATGGGGAAACACACTCTCTTCATTGTCTCTTATTATGCTTGCAATCTTAAACTATCTCTCAGATTCTTTTCTTGAAAGACAATTTATTGATTCACGGTCTGTCTGGTAGTAAGCATATAGAATTAAGAGCCGTTAATTTTTCTTCTGTTTAATGTCTTTTTAATTCAGTGTTCCCATAAGATGATAGCTAGTAAAATATACTTTGGAGAGGAAGAAGTGTAAAATGTTCCCTGCCTATATTCTTTCCTACCTGCAGAATCCCAGCTAACGCGCAGCTTTCATTTGAAGGCATCTCTAGTAAAATTCTGAGCTATGTTGTAGTCAAGATTTCTTCTTCCTCCCCACTTTCCCACTTCAGTAATGTTACAGGGAAAGTGCTGCACACACCTGAAAAGCAAAGGAACGGGATATGTGCAGTTAGCTTCTCTCCCTTGAATCATAGAATCATTTAGGTTGGAAAAGACCTTTAAAATTATCAAGTCCAACTGTTAACCGAACACTGCCATCCCACCACTAAACCATGTCCCTAAGCACCACATACACAAATCTTTTAAATCCCTCCAGGGATGGGGACTCAACCTGGGCAGCCAGTTCCAATGCCTGACAACCCTTGCAGTGAAGAAATTTTTCCTAGTATCCAATCTAAACCTCCCATGGTGCAACTTGAGGCTATTTCTTCTTGTCCTATTGCATGTTACCAGAGAGAAGATACTGACCCCCACCTCACTACAGCCTCCTTTCAGACAGTTTTAGAGAGTGATAAGGTCTCCCCTCAGCCTCCTTTTCTCCAGGCTAAACAACCCCAGTTCCCTCAGCCGCTCCTCATAAAACTTGTGCTCCAGACCCCTCACAGCTTTGTTGCTCTCCTCTGGACACGTTCTAGCAACGCAACATCTTGTAGTGAGGGGCCCAAAACTGAACACGGTTTTCAAGGTGCAGCCTCACCAGTGCTGAGTACAGGGGCACAATTGCTTCCCTGGTCCTGCTGGCCACACTATTCCTGATAGAAGCCAAGATGCTGTTGGCCTTCTTGGCCACCTGGGTACACTGCTAGCTCATATTCAGTTGGCTGCCAACCAGCACCCCCAGGTCCCTTTCTGATGGGCAGCTTTCCAGCCACTCTTCCCCAAGCCTGTAGCGTTGCATGGGGTTGTTGTGACCCAAGGGCAGGACCTGGCACTTGGCCTTGTTGAACCTTGGAGAATTGGCCTGGGCCCATTGATCCAGCCTGTCCAGATCACTGTGCAAACCCCTCCTCCCCTCCAGCAGATCGACATTCCTGCCCACTTGGGGTCGCCTACAGACTTACTGAGCATTTTTTACCCATCAAAGGGTGCGCCTGTCTAAGCCATGAGCTGCCAGCTTCTCTGGGAGAATGCTGTTGGAAACAGTGTCAAAGGCTTTGCTGAAGTCTAGGTAGACAACATTCACAGCCTTTCCCTTATCCACTAGGCTGGTCACCTGGTCATAGAAGGAAATCAGGTTGGTCAGGCAGGACTTTGCTTTTACTCTAATGGTTTTGAGCCTGAAATTTACTTTTTCTGCTGTGCTGTATTATGGGGTTTTGTTTTGGATTGGTTTCAGACTCTACGCTTGCTGACACACCTGAGGATGATGCCAGATTTCAGCTTGAAGAAGAAAATGTTCTAAAGGTGATTTTTTTTTTTTTTATTAGATGTTCTGACATGTAAATTCTATTTAGTTTTGCACGACAGTGTCAATGCTTTAGATGCAATTAGTTGATTCTAGCCTTTTACCTCATACTTAAACTCAGGCTTACTCAGTATTTCTGTTAACCAGGAATCTATGCAAGAGTTAGAAGAGAAGCAGACTTCATCAAACGTGACTTCCCGACCAACTACATCATCTAGGAGGAGAACACACAGTGAATCTGGTATGTGTGGATTTATGATGCAGAGCTTTCAGTAGCTTGACCACTTAAGGGAAAAAAGGACATTCTGTTGTCTTACTGACTTAAGGAAGATGCTGTGAAATACAATTCATGTTGCTCTGCTTATCTAAAACAAAATGTTTCAGTCTGGAAGAAAATATGTGATTCCTTGCATTGCTCCAGTATCATGTTACAGTTCAGATCGCTAGAACTGTTAGTAAGATGATGGAATAACGTGTTCCACAGTTCTGTTAAACTTGTTCACATCAACGGTTGTGTTTTCTTCCTGATGAGAACACTTTGTAATAGACCGACATAGTCAAATTCACTTCAGTTCCCTCCCTAGGCGACCACAAAATTTTGTATTTCAAAGGTCTGGTAGTAATATGGGATGATTTTGGATATATTTAGGTACCTGATCATTCCTTAAGCGCTTTTTTAAAAGTCTGGTGACTTAGGAATCGTATTTGTCTCCTCTTTCTCGTGGTTATTCAGCAATCACTGGCAAATACATTTTCAAAATGTGGAATGTTTATTCTGATAATTAGCAAGTAACAAGCTGGTCAGCATAAACCTGAATAAATTTCTCAATGGAAGTGTTCTCTACAGTTCTACTTAAATACTGTTGTGTGGAATTTCTTACATTAGTGTGTTCCATCACTTACTTCTGTTACCTCTTGACTTGTCAGTTGTAACTACCTGGGCAGTGATAACCTTCTGTCGCTGCATAGAACTTTCTTTTCTTCAGTTGCTCGGGAACATTTTTTGGTTCCTCAGCTTTTGTGTAGTATTTTTTTGTGTTCATCATAGGCCACTGTTATGTTAGTCAGTCCAAAAACTGTGCTGCGTTGCTGAGCGGTTTGCACTAAATTAAAAGAACTTCTTAATGTTGTAACAAAAACTAGTGAAAGGATGGAAAGTCTCGATTAAGCATCACAACCTGTAATATTTAGGCATGACCCAGAGCACATAAGGTCCTGTGTTGTGCTTACTTATTGTAGGTTTGATTATTAACTCTTGTCTTTGCATCCATTTATTAGTTTGTTACAACCTTAAAAGTTCTTTTAATATAGTGTTTTTATATACACTTTTTTTCTAATTTATAGGAAATCTTCCTTTTAAACCACTATTCTTGTTAAATTGGGATGGTAGCGGCTCCTTTGGAGCCGCTTATATAGTGTATAGAAACCTTGTGGTGATACAGTATCAGTACAGCATGGAGCCATGACAACTAAATGAGGACAACGATGGACAGGAGCAACCCTTGGGCCTGGGGGCACCAAATTTGGTGGGGCTCTCAGGGCGGAAAAAGAAAAAGAGAGGGGCTGAGCCAAGAAGCACCAAGGGAAAGTAAGAGAAGTCTCAAAGTATGTACAAGTGTTTTGTTCTCTTTTCCTTTACAATGAAAGATTCAAGACTTGAAGACTCGTGGATTGTCAGGGTGTGTTTTGCAAGGCAAGGGAGAAGCTGGGCAATAGAGGGTGGGTGCAGAAGGCACCTCTAGGGGGGCAGCAGGCTCTTACTGAGGTCTGTTGAAGCAAGTTGTAAGGCCTCTTGAGGTGTTTTCACTCCGCTGCACTTACGTACTGACTTTGCAACGCCTTTTTTAATAAAATTGTTTCTTACCAAGAACTCTAAAAGTCAGTGGAGCTGAATTTTGACTTGCCTACCACTAAAAATGCTGTCCCCCTACTCCTTATGCTGCTGTAGGTGCTTGTTTCAAAACACGATGTATTTAAAAAGCATTGTCTTTTTGCCTTCAAACCAAGCATATTGAATAAACAGAGCTTAAAGCAATGCTTTCAGAGTTCAATTTTACATAGTATGCCTTGAAGATTTTCTTGCTAGTGTGTGGTGAAAGTCGTAACGGTCTGTTACAAAAATCCTGTCGAGTAAATGCGATTACATATAGTGCAACTGTTAACCGATAAATTTGTTGAGGTGTCTGAAACTTGAACCTGAACTTACCTTGCCTAGCATGAAGTCCTTTGTATGCATGTGACGTGGGAGCTAGTTGCTCTGTCTCCCTGCAAATGCTGGGATGGACTCGGAAGCCCTCTGAAAGTGCCTTTCTGTCTACTGACTGTAGAGGGAGCTAGGACAATTAAGATCCTAACTGTGTTCCTCAAAATTAGAAGGGGTTCAATGTGTCATGTGTGGAGTAAAGATGCTTCCAAATTTGCAGTTTTATTTCCTGCATGTGGAGACTGCCATTTACAAGCTGTACTGATGGGACAAGTTGGGAAAGCCAGCCCCCGAAATACTGGTTTCAGGAATGTTTCACACTTTTTCATGTTTCTCAATGTTACTGTGTCTTTTTAAAAAAAGGTTTTGGTGCTTTTACTTTTTTCCCCATAGAATAATAGAGTGACTTTATTTTTCTTAAATTCCTATATAAGTAAATTATATTTTAAGTTTCTGTTAAGATTATTCAAAACTGCACATTGTGTAGATGTTTTTGGAGTAATAAAACTTCTTGAATGTGCCCAGAAGAAAATTCTTCAGATGATCTGCATAGTGACAGAAGAAAACGACACAAGTCAGACAGCATTTCGTTGACGTTTGATGAAAGTCTCTCATGGTGTGTAGTCAGTGGTCTGTGCCGTGAAAGAAGCAATAGCAGCGATTCAACAGATTCTCTTTCCATTCCTGTAAGTCAAAATACATTTTTTTTGTGGTACAAATTTTGCAGATACCACAAGGGCAAATACGCATCTTAAAACATCGTGTTCTTAATCAAAAGCAGCAGTGCCTTCAGTGGTGTCTGAGGAGAGAAAAGAGGCTGAAAGAGAAGTTGGTGTGTGGGTGGAGTGGAGTCTTTCATAGATCTGCTGACAAAGCTGAAGTGAAATTTTTAAAAATATTAACTCTGAATGTTCTTTAAAACCAGATTTGTACTGCTTGGTGCAGTATTGAAAAACGTGAGATATATTTTGTGTTTTAAAATAAGTGTTTCTTAGAATGCTAAGAAAGTGAAAGCAGTTACAGGCGTTCCATAATTTAGAATAGTTGGTGCTTCTGGGCATCTGGTAGTTCTGATACAGCTTCGGTAACTGTACGCAGAAGTGCCCTGGTGATAACGCTATATTCATTTTCCAAGCCTTTGCTGGTTTTTAGTGTTTTCAAGCAAACACTTGAGGCAGATTATCTGTGATTAGGTTAAGCCATGAAGAGCTAAACTCACAATATTCCTAGTCATACAGTGTATTCTGAATTGACAGAACTAACACTGTCTCTTCACGCTTGCTATTTTGCAGTTGTTTAGCCACTGTCTCAATTTAAGGTTAACAAAGTTGATGAGCATAGAGGATTTAATGACATGGTGCCAAAAGACAGCGTCATCTTGCCTCTCTTCTTTCACTTCTTATGAGAGCCTTTGGGAAGTGGTAGCAGCAGTCCTCAAGTTGGCTGTAGGTTGACTGCAGCCTCTGTTACAGAGCTGACAAGATCTGGCTTTCAGATCTGGCTTTATTTTTACCTACCTATGATCCGTTTGTCTCATAAAAGATGGTCTGTCTAACAGCAGCTGGTCTCATTTCTTCCATAGCTAACTAAACTGAGTAGTTCAGTTTTATTTTATGAGCTGTCTTAACAGTAGTGGTTATGGATATGGACTGCTGAGGGTCAATGTGTACTTTCTCTCTTTTTTCAGGATCTTGATGCCAGTTCATTAAGCGAAAACTCCGATTGGTTTGACCACAGTTCTGTTTCAGACCAGTTCAGTGTAGAGTTTGAAGTTGAGTCTATTTATTCAGAAGATTATAGCCATAATGAAGAAGGACTGGAGCTTACAGATGAAGATGATGAGGTACATACTTGTTTTGTTTGGTTTTTTTTTTTAACTTGGGGTGGGGGGTGAGAGGGGGAGGGAAACTTGCAGGAATAATTCTGTGTTGAGATTCCAACAAGAAGTAATGCTTCAGGTTTATTTCGGGACTGCGTGTGCTGTGTCACAAACTCCACCCAGTAGTTCATTAAATCAAATTACATGCCTGTGCAGTTGGTCACCGTTACACACCCACCAGGAAGTAACCAGAACGGCGCCAAGGCTTTCCGTGGGCTCTGAAACAGGCTCTTGGCAGTCTGGAAATGTCTGGTTTTTAACTTCACTCGCTAGCTGTTGGAATCGATGGCAGTGTGTGTACTTGAGTCTATTCCTGCATTTTTAATTATAGAAGTATGTGTTGAGCTTTGACAGCAGCTTTAATACTGAGTGAAAACTTTCCTAGCAACTCTTTGCAAAGGAATATTTCTGAATCATTTGCTTCCAGGAATAAAAGCATTTCATAGAGATGCTGAAACGCAATTTTAGAAATTTTCATTAGGAGGCAAGAAGACAGTAGAATTGTTATTACCATTGTTTTTGAGAGATCTAGATATCTGGAATGTCAGGAAGGAAGAGGGAAATTATTTTTTTCTGGGTTAGTTTTCTGTTACTTCAAAGAGGTGAATCGGCTCATGGCAAGGTTGGTTAAGTACCAGACGCAGAATGTGTCAGGGACGTACACGGTTGTGGTACTTGAAGGGCTGAATGGGACTGACTGTACCAATGCACACCGGGTTATAGTGTGGTGGAGCTGCACCCTGAGATAAGACAGTGATTTGGAGGAAGAAAGGATGGAGGCGTGCCCCTGCTCCCAGCAGCAGTGGTGAGAATTGCAGAATGGTTGAGGTTGGAAGGGGCCTCCGTATGCCATCTTACCCAGTCCCTCTGGCTCAAGCAGAGCTGACTGCCCAGTGCTTTGTCCGGACAGCTTTTGAATATCTCCGAGGATGGAGGCTCCACAGCTGCTCCGGGCAACCCATGCCAGCACTTGGTCACCCTCACCATTAAAAAAGTGTCTCCTGACGTTCAGACAGAACCTCTTGTGTTTTAATTTGTGCCAGTTGCCTCTGGTGCCATCACTGAGCACCACTGAAGAGAGCCTGGCTTTACACCCTCCCTTCAGGTATTTATACACATTGATAAGATCCCCTCTGAGCTGAGGTCTCTAGGCTGAATGGTCCCAGCTCTTGGCCTTTCCTCATGTGAGAGTTCCTCCAATCCCTTCATCATCTGCATGGCCCTTTACTGAACTCTCCCCGGTAGCTCTGTATCTCTCATGTCCTGGGGAGCCCAGAGCTGGACACTGCTCCAGGTGTGGCCTCACCAATGCTGAGCCAGAGGGGAAGGATCAGCTCTACTCGAGAAACTGATACCTTCTATCTGTCTACTCTACATTTTTCTTCAATTCCCCCAAACCAGTCATCAGATTTTGTGGAATTACTTGCTAACATGAATTATCTTATGTGCACTATTTATTACATTTGATTAAAAGTCTGTCAGAAAATCTATCAGATTAAAAACTTGTCAGATTTTTAATTGAATGCCAGAACCCAGTTACATCAATACTTTTTTTTTTTTATTTGAACCAGGTATATCAGCTGACTATTTATCAGGATGAAGACAGTGATGCTGATTCATTTGATGAAGATCCAGAGATTTCTCTAGCTGTGAGTAAAAACTTGACTGGCAAAGCATCATAAGTTGGGTGAACTGACAGAGTAGATCAAGGAGTATAGATAAATTCTATTGTTACCAGTGATTTTTCTTGTATGCTTGAAGATTCCAAGACAATATTTTGATTACTGAACATGGGGGTATTAAGGAACCTTGATATTTAAAAAAAAAAAAAAGTAAGCTTTCTAATCCACTACAAAAAAATACCACCTTATGGTTTCACTGACTTGATGGAAGGAAATTATTTGGAGCTTAAATCTGACTTTTTGCAGAAAGTGCAAAAAAAAAAGAAATCATCTTAGTCATGTATATTTAAAAAAACTCTTCCTATAAATCATATTACCTAGTTTTATTGTCCAACCCGAATGAAGGAATCTGTAGCATACACATGCGAAGGCAAACCTGTTTTCAGAACAGTACTGTGTAATTAATAGATTGTGAGGCATTTTCCAAATTCTATGAGACCATTCTTGAAGCGTGGTAAGAAATTCAGGGGTTTGAGGCAAAGTTTGTAGACATATGTGAAAAAAGCACACACTGGAATTAAAAAGCAGTGATATCTCTTTATTTATACTGGCTATTCACAGTCGAAGCTTGAGCAAAGCTGTGGTCCAAAACTGACTGAAATGTTCCAGTCCTTTGATGGTCTGTAGGACTCGGGGACTTTACGATGCGTGTAAAACACGAGGCTAGCCACCAGCTAAAAACATAGCGCTGCTCACCTATGGAAAAACATGCCTGTATGTTATGTTTAGGGAGTTAAAAGTTGGTCTCTGAAGTTTTTGATGCCACCGATGTTACTTAGGACTCCAACTAAAAAGTGCTTCAAACTTTCCAAATAAATTTTGGGTTGGTTTTTGTTTTCATTCCCTCTGTGGCATGGATTATTTCTAAGAGTCTTTCTCCTTAAAAATGAAGGGTGTTTTTAATGTGATAGTGGTGGGGGGGGTTTTGTTGTTGGTGGTTGGTTTTTGGTTTTTTGTTTTTTGTTTTTTTTTTTTTAAATGGCCTATGTTTTCCATTCTCTAATACTACGGTGTCAGAGTGCCCTCACGCGGCCGTGTTGCACACCAGCAGCTTAGCATCCCACAGCTTAACTGTCCTTCAGTCTTGAATGGTTTCCATTTCATCAGTCTATTGTTGAAAATAATGAGAACGGTGACCATTTTATCAGGGGTTTTTCATGAGGTTCTCTGAAGACTTTTGTGGTCTGGTTTCTTCAGTTTTGCCCAAGAAATAATAAATCATTACTGTTCTACCTCTGTTTATATTTCACAAATCTACTGCAAGAAGGAAGTCAGTCAGAGAGTCTTTTAAAAATCAGACTATTTTAATTTAGAACCATAAAATGGGACCAAGCGCTGAATGGCATTTTTAAATTATAGACAAGTTGGTAGCTCAAGATTACTGTTATTTGGCGATAACAAATGGTTTATAATCTCTGAATACTTCAGCTGTAAGCATTCCAAGTAGCTTAAGCTGTTCCAACCTTTAATTCACTGAAGGATTACTGGAAGTGTCCTGAATGTAGCGAAATGAACCCTCCGCTGCCACGACATTGCCACAGATGCTGGGCCCTTCGCGAGGACTGGCTTCCGGATGAGAAGAGCAATAAACTGGTAAAGAGCAAATTAGAAAGTTCCTTCCCCCTAGAGTCTGAAGAAGGTTTTGATGTTCCTGACTGCAAGAAAGTTAAAACGACTGAGGATAAAGAACCAGCTGTAGAGGAGAATGAGGATAAAGCGGTACAGATTTCCGAGTCCCAGGAAAGTGAAGATTATTCGCAGCCATCGACATCGAGCAGCATGTTCTGCAGCAGTCAGGAGGACTACAAGGAACCTGAGAAGAGAGAAGCGCAAGACAAAGAGGAAAGCATGGAATCCAGCCTGCCTGTTACCAGCATAGAGCCCTGCGTCATTTGCCAGAGCAGACCTAAAAATGGTTGCATAGTACATGGCAAAACGGGACACCTCATGTCGTGTTTTACGTGTGCAAGAAAACTTAAGAAGAGGAACAAACCCTGCCCGGTGTGCAGACAGCCCATACAAATGATTGTACTAACTTATTTTAGCTAGGTGGATGGTGACTGGAAAGTAGCAAAAGGAACTTGATAAACTGGTTAAGAGAGTAAGAAACTATTTTTGTATGCTTATTGGAAAATTAATATTTTGAGTGTCTTTACAGTTTGGTATGAAAGGTAATTGCTGAAATAAATGCACTGGAGTTGTTAAGAGGTTAGCTTAATATTCATGAATCAACTTGAAGATTTTAAATCTCTCTCAACAGAAATAACCAATTCCTGTAAGCTACCTGCCTTTCCAAGTGCTTTATGTTCCATACAAGGTAGGGACGTTTGTTTTTACCGGATTAAATACGCACATTAGAACCCCAATTTCAATGATAATGAGAGGAGAGACATGTTGACGAGTTGTTAATGTGAGTTCCTCCTCTTAAGAAGGTAGAAGATTGTCCATATTCTAGTATCTGTTGCCAGGCTCAATCAGAACCCTCTGAACAAGTCAATAAAAGAAATAAATAGAATCTTGTCTCCCTCATTCCCAAAACTTAAATTTGTCCAAGTTACCAAATTTTGGGGGAGATCTTGCCAGATGCGGCAGAAAATCGTGTCAGGTTTTGGAAACAGAAAAAGGGCGTGTGTCTCATTTTTATAGTGTGAGTTGTGAACTCCAGGTGCCCTGAGAAGCCACTGATCCAAGCTCAGTCTTAGAGTTCTCCCTTGAACATCCTAAGAAACTGGCTTTTGAAATGCTTGGTGGGTTTGGAGGTCTGTGCTATCCCGATAAGGATTTTAGAGAAAAGGCTTGGAACAGACAAGAAAAATGAAGGAGATGCTGTGTAACGTCAAGTCGGGCAATGTTAGGGGACAGTCCTACTCTTTCTCCGCGCTTGCAGTTGACTTCAGCAGTACAGCATGCAGCTTGATCATTACATTCACATGGATAAAAATAATAAGGAAAAAAAGTCCAGCTCCATCTGCAGAAACAAGTAAGCTGTGGAGTTCTAGTTCACGTAGGCGTTCTTTAAATGCAGTAGTCTTTCCAACTTAACACTGTTTTTATCTGTATCACAAGAATTCTGAAAATCTGTCGCAAGGTGTTTGGCCAACTCAAAACTGGTCTCATTGGACCTGTCCTTTGCTGCTTCTAGCTCTTGTCTCCTCGCTGTACGTTGTCCAAACCTTTGTGAAACTTAATGCTTCCTTTCTTAAGAGTCTACTGACTCACTCAGTGCTGTGGGGTGCTCAGAGGAGGTAGCGGGTGCATATTTTTGTAAGCTGAGGTATCTACAGGATGTAGTTAGATTACTCCTCTGAGCTGGTTTTCAGACGGAGGCTTTCTGTACCGGTGAGTTGTATTTATTCCTTTGGAACACGGGATCACAAGAGGAACTGGTTTTAGCACCTTTTAATTTTACAGGTAGTTGCTGATCACCTGCCCAACAGAGAGTGGCAAAAAAAGTAGTTTCAGCATCAGGGGAGTGCCAGGAACGGAGACGTAGCCTAAATGCGGGAACGGTGCCGTGTTACCACCCCGCAGGCCAAGGTTGGACACCTTGCTTAACACCACCGGTACGCTGCCAGTGACACCCGTGTGCCAGCACAAAGACTTCCCTTCATGGTGGAGCTGAAATAGTTACTCTGGTGTCAAGGGTCTGTAAACCAGGGCTGCAAACGCCTGGAATACAAGGAAGGACCTAGGAAAGGGCCATAAAGCTGTTTGGGAGAGACTCGGTAAACCCTTGGAAGAAATAGCTTCGTGGGTAGCGACTGAATCACCGGGATCAGTCATGATTTGTTTGTACGTTTGAGCTAATTGTTGAAAAGTGTTACTAGAAGATACTGGTATCTCTGAAGTTTTACCATAATTCATTTTAACGAAACAAAACACAAGACCTGCTTGCGTGCATTTCTTCACGTTCTTCCTTGCAAGTTTCCTGCCCCTTGCAAATGGTAAAGCGAGAGCAGGCAGCTGGACGTTCTTGATTCTTCACGTACTTCCTTTGCAAGTTTCCTGCCCCTTGCAAACGGTAAAGCGAGAGCAGGCAGCTGGACGTTCTTGAAGTTCTGATGTCAGCAGTAACCGTCCACAGGCTCCGATAATCCTTCAGCCCCGGGTAGAGATGTCCCGTGGGCAGATGCTTACGTTTTTCAAGTAGGGATGCTTCTAATAGGTGGTTACCTGCTTTAATTCACGCTGCTTCCTAGTTACCTTTCTTCATTTTTTGGTTTGATAAACGGGAAGTGCAGCGAAGCTTGCAGGGGCTCTTCCGTTGCATTTGCAGGTCGGAACCAAATAGCGGTCGTATCGCCGTCTGGGATCTGCGGCTGGGAGAGAAGCGCAGAGGCGTATCTTCAGGAGGAGCGCTGATAACAGGGGCGCTGTACTTAAATAGCTTCATCCATTAACATCGTCTGCTACGTCTTGCGCTTTTTCAGTGCGATCCCTTCTCCGCAGGCGCTGGGATGGCTGTGTAGCTGCCGTCCCGGGGGAGCGGCTGTTCTTGCCTCCTTCCTGCTGGGACAGATGGCACTGTCCCGCTCTTGGCATTCTCCTCTACTCCCCTTAAGTGATCTCTGTATTTTTAAAAACAAAACATTCAGCTCTCAAAAAGGCAGGCGTGGTCGGAGCGCTGATCCTTGCCGTTCACAACCACTCAGCTTTGCGATTGATTTTTCTTCAAAACCAATTTCGTCCCCTACTAACGCTTTGTGCTTTGGCAAATGACAAAGTGAGACCGTCCAGCATAATGAATTTTCCCTTGTACAATCTGAAACCGTACTTCCCTGGCAGATCTCCCGTGGTGGAGGAGAGCCCCGGAAATACCCTGGCTCCGTACAGCGCTGAGGGGGTGGATGGGTGGGTACCTGTGGCCAAAGTACAGCGTCAGGGGGAACCTCGGTTTTGAATTGCGCTTTCTGGCTTAATACTGTTCTTAATAACTTCTGGTAAAACTTCAGGGGGGTCTGTTTGGGGTTTTTTCTTGTCCCTCAAAGCACAGCTTGCAACTAAGGGAGGGATGAGCATTGGCGTCCGTTCCAGTCCCCGTGGGAGACGCCGGCTGGGGAGGGCGGGCAGGGGTGTGGGTGATGCCGTGGCCTCGGCGAAATCCTTGGGTCTGACGCAGTACGCGTGGGGTGAGGGGGGGCCAGCCCGGGGGCTGTCACCCTGCTCCTTCTGGCCTGGAAACGCCTTTCTGGCCTCGGGTAGCAGCACAAAAGTTGACAGTTGCTCTTACTCAGTGAGCTCCTTGCATCCTTATTTAATATTGTACATGTTTTAATCTTTAATTTATTGCAGTTTGTAAATATTCTTGTGCTTACAGTGTTTTGAGCTTTAATTTATTGAATTAGCCTGTTGGTACGTGTGTAGGTACATAAATATGCATACTTAGTAAATCACAGTCGAGAGAAAAGTATTTAAGAAATTTTAGCATTGAAATAAAGAGAAATATTCAAATTATATTCAGACTAAGGGGGGGCATAGGAAGATTTATGGCTTTGTTCTCTTTTTTTTTTTTTAACTTCCCTTAAAACAACTTCTGCATCGAACCAGAGCAGCATTTATTAAATAGAGACGGAGGCTGGTGCAACATTAGCAGAGTGAAAATATTTTGATGGTGTTTGTTTTCCTTTGGAATACTTTTGCGTCTCCGAGGACAGCCAAGAAGCTGACCGAGGGCTGCACTGTGCCAGTAACGTGGGAGGTGATGGTCTGGAGGATGCGGCGCGGTGACGAGAGGTTTCAGGATTCATTTGCAATGGGAGCTTAATTGCTTTTGCCTTTGAACACGTGACTGAGAAGGTGGCAGGGGTGGCCGGATGCTGACGAAATGTGACGGGACACAATTTTCAGTAATGGTCTCAGTCTGTTCCTTCATGCACTTTAGGTAGACAATGGCTGTATACAAATACTGCAAGAACTCACATTTATTCTTTTTTACTAAGTACAATAAACCCATGCTTTGATTAAATACGACTCTTTTACTGTGTAGCTATTTATTAGTGCTGAAATTCACCTCTAGGCCTGAGGAGGCGAAGTGCAAAGTGAGGTACTCGAGGCAGGGGGCAAAGTTGCTTTGTTTCAGTGCCTGATGCTTCTCAGAAAGGCTAGAAGCGCTGAGTGTTAAAATGTTTGAGAAACTTTAATACTGTGTCTTAGAATCACAGAATGCTTTGGGTTGGAAGGGACCCCTAGAGGCCATCTAGCCCAGCCCCCTGCAGTGAGCAGGGACACCCGTAACCAGATCAGGTTGCTCAGAGCCCCGTCCAACCTGGCCTTGAATGGTTCCAGGGATGGGGCCTCGTCTTCCCTTGAGATTTATTAGTCATTGAGCCTGCGGCTTTGGTCCTTCAAAAGACTGGCGCGGCTGAACCAGGAGGAGCCGGGTTGCTGGTTGTGTTGGGCCTTCAGGCTGTTTGTTGAGCAGCGCCCCTCGCACGCTGGCCGTCGAGGGGCTGCGTGCCTGGCCAGGCCGTGCTGCACCGCAGGCCCTGGCTGCTGCTTCGCTTAGCAGCAGGTTGACAGAAGGGGTAAAAGCGCCACAAAATGTTAATTGACGCAAAGCGTTACGGTTGTTCTAACAGTGTGGTACAGTTTTTATCACCAAGTTCTGTTTGCTGTAAAGCTGTTTGAATGTCTCTGTCTCTGACACGTCTGGGTATGAAGCCACGTGCAAGACTTCAAGCGGGTTTTTCCCATTAAAGACGGAGACGAGGGAGAAACGTTCCTCATTCCTGCAGAAAGCGTCAACAGGAACAATTGTTGCAGAAAATGGTGTAATCTTACAAAAGATTAGAAAACTATTAGCAGCATAATGAACTGAAATGAATAAATAGGATTAATATAGGAGCGAGGAACTTTTCTTCCCCATCTGAATCCAAAGCTGCCATTGTGATAGGCCGTACCTTTAGCAGTAGAGCGTGTGATTTTAAAGCAGTGAATTTATTCGGCGTGTTAACTTGCCGTGCATAGGGTGGGGCAGCAGCTATCCCGGGAGGATGCAACGTTTTGTTGTGCGACACAGCCTAAAAAGGGACGCTTGCTGTTGCGGCCCTTCCCCGGGGGACAGAGCTCGGCAGGAGGGCAGCGTTCGTGCGGGCTCTGAGCTCCCTTGGCTGCTCATGACTGCTCGCCAGGCGGGGACGGGCTCTGAGCGCCTGCAGGGCTCCCCCAGGCACTTACCGTAGCACGGCCGGTAGCACGCTCGTGCTCCGAATGCGCGCCCTCTGCATCGCTGGGCCTGCAGCTCCCGTGGGGCAGGGCTTTGCTGGAGCATCAGCTGTGCCAGGGGGATCGCCTGCCCGACGGGACTCTTCCAGCTCATCCATTCCCGACCCCAAGTCCTGTCTTGAGTTACTTGTCATTTAGAGGTTGTACAAGCAATGGAAAGCAAAAAAAAAAAAAAAACAAACCCAAAAAACCCAAAAGTTGGGCTTAAAGGATCTTTTCACAATGGATTGCACTTACCGAACATGAAAAATTGTTGCTTTTAAGTAATGTGTCCTTTTTTTTTTTTTTAATTTAGCACAGATGCACTGAAAGCTTCAGGTGAATGCCTCTCTGTAGTGTGTGTGTGTGTATATATATATATCTCTATATATTCCATGTGTAAAATTTGTTGGTGATAGGTAAACAGGCGTCATCTCCCCGCTTTGAGCAGCTGTTGCTTTAACTGAACAGCCTGACTTCTACCGGCCGGCTCTTGTTCTTGAGCTAAACTGACAGCCGTCACCGTGACCGCTGTGTAACACCTAAAATGCCAAATGGCTTTTCCAAAGGCAGAGTCTTGCGTCACCGTCTGACGCCACGTAGTCGGAACGCCTGGAGCAGACTGCTTCTTGGTGAACTTGAGGCAAAACTGCGTAGTTACTTTACTCCCGGATGCACACGCTTCCCAGGGCTCGGCAGGGCGCGTTCCCGTTGCGCTAACCCGCGCGGGCACTGCCGCAGTAGGTGACCATCAACACGCGCCCGCCCCAGTCGCACAGAGTATGGCTCCGTTTCTGAGAAGAGATTTCATGTGTACCGCGTTTGTCTTGTTTTGGTTGTCAGTTTTCCCTTTTCTGAGGAAACGAAATATTGTGTTCCATTTTAAAGCTTTAAATAAAGATTTGTTTATCTACTCCTTGGTGCTCTTGTTTTCCTGTCAAGGACGTGATTGTTAGGAGTTCAGCTACTTGGTTTTTCATACAGGTTTTTAATTCTGTGAAGCGGCATGCAGGCTCGCGCTGCCCTCGCTCCGCTGCCGGGCAGCTGGCTTCTCACAGGTTCTGTGCTTTTGGGGGATTTTAAACTTGAGGGGTTTCCCGTGCTTCTTGCTGTGACAGAATTGGACCCAAATATCAGCAATGGGATTAGTAGACAAGTGTTTACTCCTCTGATGGGTAAAGAACCCACAGCAGCTCAGAGGGGGAGAGGAGGCAGAAAATTCAAATGGAGAAGGATGGGAAGGTTCAAAGAACAGCGTCCTGCACGCACAGCCCTCCGTCCAACTCGGCGCTGCTGTTTCAATTTCTGAAGTGTATTTACAGTCCGTACGTGGCACAGGAGAACCCGGCCGGCGGGCAGAGGAGCGGCTGCTGCCCGAGCTCGGCAGCCCAGCTGGTAGGGCTGGGTCTGACAGGCCGGGGTGGGTGACCCCCCTTCCAGGGGAGGTGCTCTGTTTAGAAAGGCGTAAAACGATTAACTGACTTCCTGC